ATGCACCTCTTTCGCTGGTTTGCCAAACCGCCATAAAACACCAGAAGAAGAAGAATCAACCTTCCTTCCGGAGCAGAAGGTGGCGGTAATGCACCAATACGCTGGATGCCAACCGCCATAAAAATATAAGAAGAAGAAGAAGATTCCTCCGGGTCGATGCAACATGGCGACGTGCATGTCGGGAACATAACAGTGAGGGTGAAAGATTTCGTCCTTTTTTCCCCCTTTGACACAAAACTAAAGGCAGCAGTTAAGAAACGTCGGCTACTTTGTTTTAACACAACGTACATGCAGGTAAATTAAAAGTAAACATAAAAGGAATAATTTTACACTAGTACAGTGCATTTCACTATGTTTCACAGTGACACTATACAAATCTTATTATTTGATTTTGTAATTGTTCCTACAGATTAATTAAAAATGTCTTTTCTTGGAAGTCTGAAACCAGTGCTGTTGTCTGTTTTGCAGGGTAAGTCTCAGAATTTCTCAGTAGAAACAGAATTTTGGTTAATGTCATATTAAAATAAATAACTGAAATGAATGATGCCACTTTCTATTGTGTCATTTTGGCAGCGTCGCACTCTGTACCTTTGTGGTCTGGACCTGTGTTCAGCAGGACCATGGCCACTCTCAATCAGATGCACCGTAAGGGCAGACCTCCCCCACCTCGTCCAAAGATCAGTGCCACTTATGGGCATCCACAGCTCAAAGCAGTAGTTCTGAAGACCATGATCAGGAAACCCAAGAAGCCCAACTCGGCCAACCGCAAGTGTGCACGAGTACGTCTGTCCAATGGTCAAGAAGCTGTCGCGTACATTCCTGGGGAAGGACACAACCTCCAGGAGCACAATGTGGTGCTGATACAAGGAGGGAGAACGCAGGACTTACCAGGGGTCAAAATCACCGTGGTCAGGGGCAAATATGACTGTGCACATGTCGTGAAGAAGAAACAGTAATTACTTGAACTGCGTCTAACTGCATATATCTTCATGTCTGTAATAACTTGGATATCAACAAATAAACGTGTTCTGAAATGTAAAGCATAGTGGTCAGGTTCTTATTCATACAGGTATTCCAGTCCAACAGTGATCTGATCCTACATTTTTATTTTCAGTTTGTTCAAGTAGTATTTCAGGTTCTGGTTCTTATTTTGCAAAGCAGAATGTTATCTTCGTCCATCAACTCTCTTTGACAGATGTAAAAGTTGGTGTTTGTCTTTGCTTTTACTATTACTTTGACATGTTAAGTAACTAGTTTGAAGGAGTTGATTTATCCTTTTGAACAAAATGTCATCTGCATGTCTGACATAACATGCTGCGCAAACAATCCCAAAAATGAAGACTGAATTCCAAAAAAGAGTGTTTACACCAAGTTGTCTTCACAGAAAAAGTGAGTTCCTGCTGTAAAGAACTTGTAAAGTTATTTAAAACCTTGTTGGTAAGCGCAACTAAAACTGCTACATTTAACGTGTTTTTGAAATGACCCATAAGTCATTGATGGAGGAAAAGAAACACTGCAGGAATGTCATGTTATGATATAGGCTACAACCCGTAGTATTCCCTCCATCTCGTTTTGCGTAATAGTGGCCTGAGCTATTCACTATTGGAAAGCCAGAATCCAGTTTGGCAGGGTTCTACAGGGCTTTAGGTTTTCTTCATTTGACTTCAACTCTCAGGCTGTGGTTGAACATCTACTTCAGGTATGACTTCTTTGAAAGGGCATGCTAAAATATATTTGTAATTGTATATACTGTAATTTTACAGGGTTATGCTTATAGTAACACCTGTCTATACCGGGCATGTCATACAGGACACGTAAAAAACAAACCGTGGTATCTTTAGCAATTTTGCTTTACAAGTATTTTTTATTGTTAAAGGAGTAGTTCACCCAAAAGATTTTTTTATTGTTCCAAACCTGCATGACTTTCTTCTGCGGAACACAAAAGACATTTTGATAACCAAACCACTTTGACTTTTATTGTATGGGCAAAAGCACTGAGACATTTTTCAAAATGTCTTCATGTTCCACAGAAGAAAGAAAGTGTTACAGGTTTGTTTGTCAGTAGGCCTATACTGAAATGAGGGTGAGTAAATTATGACAGGATGTTCATTTTTTTGGTGAATTATACTTTTACAAAAAGTACAATGTATAAACACTATGGATTATTTAGATATTTCGGTAACACTTTAGAATAATGGTCCGTTGTTAACAAGTAACTATGCAGGAAGTAATAGGTAGTACTACAGTAACACTTAACTTAATACTATTAACTAAAAGAGAAGCAAGATTAACTAAGCAGTAAGTAGTAGCAAATTTAGGACAAAGGTAGTTCCTTATTAGATATTTGATAATTACTAAAAAAATATATCCTCATTGAGAACTACTTGCAAACTATGACCAATTAATAAAGAATAACCAATTAATTACTAATCACAACAGTAACGTCTTAAAAGTGAACAATTGGGTTCTTTGTGGAATCTAATTTATGAATTTGATATCCCCCAAATAAGTCGGCTACATTTTAAAATTGTGACTACTACTCTTACCAAAGGATGGATGTTCAAACTTAAACATAGAATAATAAAAATAATTAATTTAAACATGTTAATAATTAGGAAGTGATTGAATTAGTTTACAATTATGAGCTCATTTTTTGTCTCAGTTCAGTATGTCTCCGACTCCAAAAGACCTATACCTTTAGTGACAGTAGGCTGGGGAGGACTTTTCTTGAATATAAATAATGATGTTCTCTTGACAAAAACAATTCACATCCTTAATGAAGGCATCGACTGCATTTATATTGTGTTAAGCACAAAACCGCATATTACAGATTTCAGTGTCTGGTAAAATATCACTAGTTCCTCACACAAATGTATGACTGCACAGTATGTGTCAGATATAAACTATGTTAAATAACTTATTAAATTACTTAGTAATTACCGAGTGGTTAAAGTGTTTTTCACTTTAAAATAATGGTCCAGATCACTAGTAGTTATACATTTGTGTGAAGCACTAGTGATATTTTACCAGTAGGTCTTTTGGAGTGGGATACATTGATACTGAACTGACACGAAGCAGAGATCATAACTGTGAACTAATTCAATCATGAGCTTGTCAGCATCACTTCTTAATCATTAACATTTTTAAGTGAATTTTTAATTATTAACATTTTAAGTGAATTTTCATTTTTATTATTATTCTATGTTTAAGTTTGAACATCCATCCTTTGGTAAGAGTAGTATTTTTACAGTAGTATTTTTATTTTTACACAATTTTAAAATGTAGCCGACTTATTTGGGGGATATCATATTCATAAATTAGTTTCCACAAAGAACCAAATTGTTCACTTTAAGGCGTTACTGTTGTGATTAGTAATTAATTGGTTATTCTTTATTAACTGGTCATAGTTCACAAGTAGCTCTCAATGAGGATATTTTTACTTAATAATTATCAAATATCTAATAAGGAACTAACTACCTTTGTCCTAAATTTGCTACTACTTACTGTTTAGTTAATCTCGCTTCTCTATTAGTTAATAGTATTAAGTTAAGTGTTAATGTAGTACTGCCTATTACTTCCTGCATAGTTACTTGTTAACAACGGACCATTATTCTAAAGTGTTACTGATATTTCTACTAGAAAACAAAAGTCAAGTCATGTCACCTTTATTTATATAGCGCTTCATAGCGCTCAGTTCAGTTCTCTTCCAATAGTGTCTGTGCAGTTAAGTCAACAATGCTGCCAGAAATTGTGTCCCCAACTAAGCAAGCCAAAAGCAACATTGGCAAGGAACCACAACTCCATCGGTGACAGAAATGGAGAAAAAACTTTGGGAGAAACCAGGCTGAGTCAAAGGGCCAGTTCTAATCTTCAAGACTAAACCTCTGTATTCATTTTCAGAACCATGGAGGCCATATATGAAGTAGAAGTGACAACAGGCTCCATGATCCACGCAGGCACTTTTGACAATGTATTCATTACTTTGATTGGCACACAAGGAGTGAGTGAGCGGACCAAGCTTGACAGCTATGGAAGAGATTTTAAGACTGGGATGGTAAGTTCTTTTTTTCTGTGAACAATATTTGAGAGAAATAGGCCTTTTGTGTACATAGAAAAAGTCTTAGATCTTTGAGTTCAGCTCATGAAAAATGGGGGCAAAAACAAAAAGTGTTGCGTTTATAATTTTGTTCAGTGTATTTGTGCTTCTCTCAAAGTTGCTGGTGCCACACACACACGTTATACCCTGCAGATAAACACCCTCATTCGGAACAGACTTCTCGGTCCTGAGGGTGCGCTGTCATATATTGATTCAGGATTGTTTTTATTTTAATTTATTTTTAAAATTAGGCAATTACCTGTAAATAATTTTCACTCCAGAATACTAGTATTGGAGATGACGGGATGACCAGTCTCTTGGAAGAAGGCACTTTCAGACCTGACCTACAGCTCTCTCTGCCTGCCTGAAGACATCAGTGACCGCGGACTGGAATCTGTTCCCAACTTCTTCTACAGAGATGATGGACTTCGGCTCTGGAGCTTCATAAATGAGTAGAATGATTTAAAAAAAATTCAAAATGGTTTTTAAAATTAAATGATAATCTATCTGTGCACCAAAAATAAAATAATAAATAAATAAAGTAAAATAAAATAAAATACAATTACTCAGATTTGCATTAATCACTTCAGTTAAGTTTTTTTCATGGCATCTTGAAAGCTTTCTTCAATATGTGCAATACAAATCAGTTGTCTTTGTTGCTTTTGGTATCGGTTTGTAGTTTTGTAAGGAGCATGGTGAAGTTTTATAACCAGAGTGATGGTGATGTGCAGTCAGTGGGACACTGAACTTCAGGACTCAAGGTCCTGGAGATCTTCATCCATGGGTTTCTTGAGCAGAGCAGCACAGGTGAGTCAGACGATAGGCTTTGGTTATCATAGCTGTGATGTCAATATTTTTTTCATCATCTGTGTTCCTTTTCTTCTTTTAGGAAAGCCTCAGTGTTTTAGCACAGTGGAGGAGGTCATTAAATTTGTGGCTATGGTGATCTTCACAGTTTCAGCTCAACATTCGGCCCTCAGAGCAGGACAGGTAAGTTAAAAATGAAATGAAAATTATTCTACTTAAAAATGTAATTCTATTTTTTCCCCACATTTGTACACTTAGTTTGACTATGATAGTTGGTTTCCCAATGCCCCTGGCTCTTTAAAAAGACCCCCTCCTACATCTAAGGGAAGCTCAGACAAAAACACCCTACTGGACACCCTCCCTGACATGAAAACCTCTGCATATCTAGTATCAGTCTTTTGGCTCCTGAGCAAACCCTCATTAGATTTAGTGAGTGTTTCCTACTCAACTGACTGGATCCCTTTTTTTTTTTTGCACATACTTGCAAATCCCTACAAATCCTCTCTAATCTTTTATGCAGGTTCCACTTGGGCAATACCCAGAGGACTACTTTTGCCAGATGGCTCTCCAAAACATGATCAGAGATCATCAAGCAGAACTGTCCTTTTTGAGTCCATCAATGACAGAAATAATGGGCTGCAAGTGCCTTACACGTACATGTGCCCTGATAACATCAGCAACAGTGTCAGCATTTGACACAGAGTGGTGTGACTTAAGACTACTAAAACATCATGTTTTAGTATAATTACATTTCATTTTTAGTAACATTTTATTATTTTTAATATGTGGATGTCAGTTGATAACATTTGAAAGCAAGTTTAGACATTTTTTAAATTAAATGTGTATTTTATTGCTATACACCAAGGGTGGCGAAATTTTACTGTAGTATTTACTGTAGATTTAGTCTCATGTGCCAATATTGATTTGATTTAGATGCTAGGTTAAAACATAAAAAAAAAAATCTAAATTATTCAAGATTTAATTTTTTTTAAATATTTTAAAAAATACACATTTTTAATTTCCTTTAAAGGGGTCATATGATGCTATTTTAAAGATCATTATTTTGTGTATTTGGTGTAACAGAATATGTTGACATGCTTTAATGTTCAAAAAACACATTATTTTTCAAATACTGTACATTATTGTAGGTCCTCTATGCCCCGCCTCTCTCAAACACGTAGTTTTCAACAAAGCCCCCTCCTTTGACAAGTGCAGTCTGCTCTGATTGGCCAGCTGACCCAGTGTATTGTGATTGGCCGAACACCACAAGCACGCGTTGGAAATGTAACGCCCCTTACCATAATCGCAAGCGTCAGCTTTCAAAGTAAATATCAAGACAGTTAATAATGTTATTAGTTTTACCATCAGTTCAAGCCCGAAAGGGTGACAGACACAGTGAAGATGCAGTACACAAGCTGCGGTTAAGACAGCTGACGTGCTATGATTTCTGACAGGCAGTTCACTCTCCTGTGATGTGACCCTGTTCCCCTCACACACACACACACACACACACACACACGATGCGCTACTCTGCGCTGCGCAAAACTCCGTATTTGAACAATCAATAGCAAATACTTAAACTAATAACAAATAGATTACTAATAGAGAAGCGCCAGATTGTCAAAGCAAAGTCAGAATTACCTCCTCTCCTAGGTTCACGAAACGGTCGTCCATAAACTTGTAACACTCCAGAGAGAAAGGAAAACTTGAAATCGCATCATATGACCCCTTTAATTTACTGTATAGATTATAGATTCTCACTTGTCAAAATTAGTGTTTTAAAAATAAACATATTAAAGAATTTTAAAAAGAGCTGAAGCACCAAAAAGACATTTGAAAAGGTCTTTATTTTATGGACGAGTGTTTCAGGTTTGATAATTCCATTTAATACTATCACTTCAAATGCATATACTTTCACAGCAATGTTCCCTTTAGAATTTAGGAATATGAACTGTGTGAAGTAATCTACATTTTATGTAGATATGAATATGTATTGAATACAAAAGCCGCAGTACCAATATCCCAATGCAATGACACAACAGTCCAAAAAAATGTTGTTGAATATTATAGTGTTTAAACAGAATTTGTCTGTTACTGATGGAAAAGTGCGTCCAGATGACACTACAAGACCTGGATGGTAGACATTCTTCACAGATGATTTTCAGATGATGAGACAACGCAAAAGCATCACTCTCAGAAGTTCATCATGAGACTCTTTTTAACCAACACATCAGTGTTATTGTGGGTTAAGTTCATCAATGCACCGCCCAAGGTTTTCAGTCTTTTTCGGGAAGTAGCCTTCTTTGACTTTCTTATTAATGTAGCGAGTTGTCTCCTCTCGTGCATTCTGGCTAGAGCTGGCAGAGATCTGCAGGATGTTCTTGAGCAGCTCCTGGTTGGCCTCCACAGACAAACCCAGCAGAAAGTGGAGAAAGAGATCATAGTTGCTATTCTTGGAGCTTAATGCTTTGTCAACTGCACTCCTGAGTAAGTCTGCCAGGGAAACCTTCAAGACCTTCAGCTTGTTCTGCTCAAGGATGTTCTTCCCATGTTTCTTGAAACAATAGAAAACATGAAGAGCAGCGAGGTACTCCTGAATGGTCGGATGAGCGAAGCAGCTCACCTTCTCTGTGTAAATCATGTACTTCTCTCTGTAAAACTCTGTACAGAGACCGGTGCAGGCCATAGCAGGGTACGAATCCGGCAATCCAACGTCATCCCAGTGCGCTTTCTCTATCTTAAACTCATTCTTCTCAAGCATGCTGTAGGACAGCTTTGCGAGCTTAATGAGCAGCTGATCAGCAGTAAGATCCTTGGTGTCTTCGGTGGGGTCGTTCTGCAGTTTCTCAACGGACATTTGAGTTTGACCATGCAGCATAATGGTGTACAAATTGGTAAGAGTTTTGGGCAGCTGTGCCGATGGTTGAAGAGACTGGAACTGCTGCTGCAGCACTTTAGATGCCACCCAGCAGAACAGCGGCAAGTGGCACATAATAAACAGCGTCTTAGAAGACTTGATGTGAGCAATCACCCTCTCAGCAAGGTCTCGATCTGTGACCGTCTTCCTGAAATAGGTCTCTTTCTGAACATCGGTGAAGCCACGAACCTCCAGAAGCTGCTGGACGTGTTCTGGTGGGATCACATCCAGAGCTCCTGCCCTAGAAATGATCCACACGTAGGCGTCATAGAGCAGGTTCCCCCTGACGAGGTTGGTGATCAGCACTTGCACACTCGTAGGCCTGGTCGCATCACACCAATACGCCGTTCTCCGGAAATTAAAGGGGATTTGAGTGTCATCTAGGCCATCACATATGAACATTACCAGGCAGCCCTCGAAATCGAGAGTATCTATTTCCTTCATCTCTGGATAGAGGATGCTGACTAGACTCAGGAGAGTATACTCTCCTTCAAGCATTTTATTCAGCTCCTTGAACTGCAGAGGAATGAGGAAGAAAACATCTTGGTGGACTTTTCCATCTGCCCAGTCGAGGATGAAGTGCTGCACTGCAAATGATTTGCCACATCCTGGGACCCCCCTGGTTAACACCGCCCTTATGGGCCTTGACCTCACATTCTCCTGGATAAACATGTCATTTCCAGTTAATGGCTTCCTGTTCACTTTGCCAGTCTCTAAGAGCTGTTCTATCTTTGATCTGAACTCATGCTCACTGTTGATTGATGCATTAACGCCATCTGTAATGTAAAGGTCTGTATAGACAGACTCAAAGGGGACTGGTTGTCCTTGTTGACTAAAACCCTCATATACTATCTCATACTTCCTCTTCAGAGTCAATTTCAACTCGTAGCGCACTTCATCTGTGGAACGTCACAAAGAAAGGTTTTTAAGGCAACGGTTTGAAAAGCACTATAATGTTTTGGAGGACAAAATAAAATAACTTACTTCTTTTGCATAGACCTAGCAGATATTCAGCCAGCTTCTTAAAGTTCATGATATTAAAGAGTGCCAGCGTGATCTTTAGAGAGACCTCGATATCGCAAAGCTCCAGCATCTTATCCACCAGATCCACAAGATCAAGTCCGTCCAGTGGATCACGGAAGCGCTCTGGATATCGATCCCACAGCAGTTTTTTGAAGTGCTTTAATTCATCATCTGCAAGTTTCTTTAGGCAGCTGGTGAGGGCCTGTGATATAGCAAGAATGTTAGTTTTCTCAACTAAATGGATGACCAATGGTTGTAGGCCTCACCTTAAATGCAAATTCCACCGTCATTGCTGGATGCCTTTTTTCATTTGGATCTACTACCAACTCTGGTTTTACAGGAGCAGGAACATTTTGTTGTTTCACACCTCCTTCCTTCTTGCTCTTCTTCCGTGTGCTTAATTTAAAAAAGAATAAACTTTTTAGAATATATTAATGTTACAATAAATGAAAAACTACACAACTGTTCAAAATGTTGGGGTCAGTAAAATTTTTTCTTAATGTTTTTGAATGAAGTCTCTTATGAATGTATTCTAAAATGAAAACATGTATTATGTATGCTTCTGTACAATAGTTATTTTAATGGAAATGTAAGCATCTTACAGTAACTAATCATGTGAATACATTAAATACGGTAATACGGTTGAATATGGCAAAGTAATATAGGCCAGGATTGAAATTAAACTCTAAATCATCTCTCTATCCATCAAGGGGTGCTTGACACCCATGACTAACATATTTATTATGACCTCTGAGTTGTATATCAATATGACCATGCCATGGTAATGGCAGTTCAAATGGTACGGATGCATCATGTGACTTCCACTCACCTTTCTTCAGCACTGCCCTCCATATTAATGTCCTCATCATCACTATTAAACTCTTCACTGCTAGAAGCAGACGAGTCCCGTCTGCACAACTGAACCCTGTATAAAATCAAAAGCTGACTTACAAGAATGACAACCTTAGCCACAAGCACAGAGAGCAAAGTCTCTTTCAATCTTTCAAATAACTCATAAGTATCATTTTCACTCTTACAGTATGCTACTGATAAAAGCCTCAATCCTATCTTTAAAATGCCCCTTAACTGTATGTAGAACATATTAACTCTGCAAAGACCAAATAAAATATATAAAACCTGTCATGTAATCTCAAAAAACAAACAAATAATAATAATACAAATAAAAAAATAGTCTTCGGGTCGAATGAAGATTAAGTAAACTTGCTGTGTGCGGCAGGGTTCGTGCTCTTCTCTTGTTTCTGACCAGCTGTCACTCCGCATGGAGTCATAACTGGATGCAGGGGACTCTGCTCTCTCCACGTATTGTCTGGTGAGAACGATCATTGTAAATGACAGAAAAACGAAAACATGAAAAAGTCAGTAAATTGAAAGCGAATGAGTTGTAATTAAGCATGTAAGTCAAATAACTCTAAACGTATTAGCTAAATAACATCTTGACTACGGCGTGTTCCCGATCTTACCAGCAGGTGTCGCACTTACACAACAGACAAGCATGCATGCGTCTAACATGTACGTCAACATGGCTATTCCTTGCTGAACCTTATTACACACCAACATCAGATTACCGAAAACCATATTACCCCACATGGTTGGAGAATCCGAGGGTGAATGGAAGTGTCCTCTGAGGAATCACGTCGTCCTCTTCATCCCCATTTTCACTCCCGAAGGCGGAAGCCCCGATTCCTAAAGGCAGACTGTTGTCTGACGCCACATCTACTGCGTCGTCATCCATCTCGGATTTGCAACGTTTCCCCCGCTTGTTAGAAACAGCTCGGTGTTGTTACCCTGATGAAAGCGATACAAAGATATTGCAAAGTCCATTTGCATTTAATTTGAACAACCCACGTCTATTCCTGTGGAAGGACTGCAGTATTGCGTTATGAACGATAAAACTCAAGTTATTTGTTAGAATAGGGCGTAACCCTTTTTAAACCCTGGTTGAATAACGTTTGACATCAATTTGTCGTTACAGTGATATGTATTGTGAAACAATGGTGCTAGAATGGCACACAGTGAGTAGTTTAGCAACTGACAGCCAATCATAAACTGCCTCTGTGCTTACTTAATTAAATATTCATGTGCTTTGCACACTCGCTGAACTTTAAAGGTGGGGTAAGCGATTTCTGGTAGCCAATGTTGACATTTGAAATCACCAAAACAAACACGCTCCTACCCCAAAAGGGTCTCGCCCCTATTTTGATAGCTCCGCCCCACACATTCGTACACAACCCAGGCAACGATTAGTTCTGTGAAGCAAAGTCTACACCGGACGCGAGTGGCGCGGCACGCTTACTGCTGATTGGCTACAAGTTTGTTTTGGTATTCGGCCCGAATCAGTTTTCTAAAGCGTTTTTGAAAAATCGCTTACCCCACCTTTAATGTGTTGTTTTACTTTAGCATCTAGGGGGGAAAAAAATCGAACACTGATTGAAATGCTTTAAAGGGATAGTTCACCCAAAAATGAACATTTTATGTTTATCTGCTTATCCCCAGGATTTTCATTTTTTGGGTGAACTATCCCTTTAACTAAGATTTTTGGAGACTCTACACAAGGCTAGAGCAGATTTACCCGGCGTCATTTTTAAAGAAGTTATACTGGTCCAGTCAATGTTGTTGGTCTCATACATAGGCCTACGTACATACAAACATTAGCCCAAGGTTTACCAATGTACAGTGTGAAAAAAATTACCCCAGAATACTAGAAAAATTGGAGAAATGAATTACACTGTAGAGAAAAGCCAATATTTGGTCACCTTGTAGACTGAAAGAAACCTTTTGTACTCACTTTATAGGCCCTTATATGTGGTCAGATGAGTTTGCAAATATAGAATGCTATAGGGGTTATGCGCAACAGACTTCCGTATTCTGTTAACCGGGTCTCGTCGCTTCCGAGCTAGTTTAACTGATTATCTTAAAAGTCCATAGATATCGCTATTATTTAATACGGCTGTTAACACGTTCTCCGACAAGTGGAAGCAATGAGACCTGTTTGGGTTTGGTCAGGTGATGTTCGACATATAACGTTACCCTATTAAAAGAGCTTCCGATAGAGATTGAAGTGTAGCTATAGCAGCTGTCTAATGAGTTCACCTTTGTTTATTTCTGTAGCAATGCTTCTGACTCCAAAGTCCTCTCGATCCACGCCTGGCTTCACATAAAATTGCGGAAGATGAAACAAAACCGGTTGGTTAACTTTTGAGTTAATTGTTTTGCATAAATGATTTTCCTTTATGATTAATTCCTGGGCCCGTAAGCCAATGCAAGACCGTATATATTAAACTTAACCAGCGAACATACATGTAGCTAGCAAACGCGCACCTACAGTATCTGATCAGTATCACTTTCGGTTTGAAGTTGTGTACTTACTTTCCTGTTTTCTTAAAGAGACAGCAGTAAAGATATTTAAGTGACGTAGATTTTGTAGTTGTTAGTAGAGACCGTAGTAGACGATAGATATCTGTCACCTGATAGCCTACCTTAACCTCTTAAGACCCGGCAAAACATTTTAGGAAAAAAACTGTATTTTTTCATGTCATTACATTGTTTAGAGCATTAAAAAAATGTAACAATGATATTTCATTCATAAGTTATGCTACGTCCTTGGTAGAGGACTCAATTAAAAAAAATAAAAATATATGAATGAGCATGCAAAGGCAAAAACATTAGATTTTTTAAAATCACCAGTTCATTTTTAGTTTTCAGGACTTTTTTTTTTTTTTTACCAAACTTTGTATAAAGATAATTGTCAACTATGTTATAACAGAATGATTTGATATACCATTTTTCTTTATACAAAATGTGTGTAAAATGGCCATAAACAGGTTTTCTCTTTATATATAATGTATACATCTAATTTGCATATTAATGTGTTTTTGGGGCAACATGTAATGAAAAAAGAAGTGTAATAATGGGAGTAATAATTGACAAGATTTTCATAATAATATATAATATTTCATAGGAATAGTGAAATATCAT